CAGTTTGTTGATACTCACAAGGTAACATGAGATTTTGGGAGCTGCACTGAATCTACAAGTCAAGTAGATACAGATCTTCCTAACAACTGACATCTTGACAAAATTCATCAGTGCTTTATATTTTTCCTCATATAAATCTTGAACATATTTTGTTCAACTTATTCCAAAGTATTTCATTTTTTAGGATGCTAATATAAATGGCATTGTTTTTAATTGCAAATTCCACTTGTTCTTTGCTGGTATTGATACATTGATACACACACATTAAATATTATGGTATCTTGTTCTTTAGTCTGGCTCATTGCTAAATATTTTTCTTAAAAGCAGGGGTCAGCAAACTAGGGCCTTTGGGCAAAATTCAGCTCACCACCTGTTTTTGTATTACTCACAAGCTAAGAATTTTACACTTTTAAATTGTAGGGGGGAGGGGAATCAAAAGTAAAGTATTTTATGACACATGTAAACTATATGAAATTCAAAGTCCAATGTCCTAAATAAAGTTTTATTGGGACACAGCCACACCTATTTATGTATACTTGGCTGTTCTCTCATTATAATGGCAGAGTTTGAGCAGTTGCCACTGAAACTTGATAGCTTGCAAAGTTCACAATATTTACTATCTGGCCATTGACAGAAAGTATATCGACTCCTGCTTAAAAACTCATTTGGACAGAAAAGAACTTTTCATTTAGAAAGAAAGTCTCAGAAAGAAAAAGTAAACTTGGTTGGCATTCAGGTTCAAGGATGAAGAGAAGTATTTGAGAAGATCAATTTAATCTTGCTCCCCTTTTCTTCATGGATTTTCTAGCTGAAATCTTGACCCTTCTGTAATCAGTTTTTAGTATGTTGAAGATCAACTATGACAAGATTACAAAAATAGATAATCTATACCCAGCCTTGGCTTCCTCCTCTACTCACTCCCAGAATTCAGATACCTGAACTCGAGTTGAACTGCCCATGTTCAAATCTCAGCTCTGCCCCTTAAAAGTTGCATAAACTTTGGGTAAGGTATCCTCCCCTTCCTCATCTGTAAAATGGCAGCAGCAGTATCCATCTCTGAGTTGTGAGAATTGGAGAGAATACATTCTTAGAAGAGAGCTTGGCACACAGTAAGTGCTAAATAAAGGTAAATCCAGTGAAATAGATTACCTTCTTCAACATTTCCCACTCCATCTTCCCTCTCCTATTACAGATGAAGAAAGCAAGGCTCAGGAAGGGTAAGAAACACATAACAATTAACTGGCTTCACCTCATGTTAATTACTGTGAAGCTAAGTGACCAGGTGACAGAAATTACAACAGGAGAAAAGTTAGAAAGCTTCTGAAGTATCTATCTCAAATTCTTAGTGTCACAATTCTAGGTCTTAAAATAGGTACTTGCCCGCCCTGTAATTAATAATCCAGTTCCACTCAACCCTGGCAGGTAGAATTCCCTGAAGGAGGCAATAACATATTTACCAGCCCTAAAAATACAAGGGAGGAGAACAGTAGGTATTGATTTGCATCTCTTAGGACCCTCTGTTGGGAAAACACCCAGTTCACAGACAGACCTTTCCTTTGTAATAATTACCTCAGAGCATCTCCACAGACCACAGAAAACACACACCACCAGAACTGAGAGGAACTTTTCCACTGCACCAGAAGATGGTGGTGGGCAAATGCAAGGTACAGAACCTTTCCTGCAGGAACTGAGTGTGCAAGGAGTCTAGTATAGAAAGGGTTAAAAGAACCTGCCATTCAGGGAAGGCTGTGTTTTGCAATGGTTCCACTAGACTGGAAACATGCGTTAGGATGCTTGTATATCTGGTTTTCAGTCTCTTCTCTCTCCAAAACAAACAAAACCCAAAGAACAGCGTTGGATTGATTACTATAATCAACATTTAATGCTATTGCAATCTCATCAACTATTTTCATACTGAGTTTTGTGACTAAATTCTACTGAAAATCTACAAAGGGAAATAAATTGAATTTGATCCATAAAACCAATTTTTGTACTAAATATTCACCAAGCCAAGGTTCTGGTGACATAAGAAAGCTGTACTTTATTCTTGTTAATTCTTTTGCAATCTGCCCAGTTTTCCTTTGCTATGTCAAATGATGTAGTGGTTGTGGTATCAGGTCTTCATTTGACAGTAACTTTTATATTTTTGTTCTGGACCCTCAAATAATGTCTGTTGTTGGTAAATGTTTTCCAAGTTTACTGTATTTTTGTAATAGTTTTTGTTTAGTCATCACTAGAAAATAAGACTAGTCACATAACTCAGTGAGTCAGCTAACCAATCTGAGTTGGTAAGCTCCCCAAAATGTCTTTTGGCAAGACAAATTCAAGATCTCTCGTTTGTTGAGATGCAATACCATGAGTCAAAAATGCCTCTAACTGAACAGACTGGAAGTATAATTTAACTGGTTTCCTGATTCAGATGTCAAGCAAGCAAGTTCATGTCATAGCTATTAAGGTCATTTCCAACATTACTACATAGGATTACCAAAGAAACTGATATTGATTTATATAGCCATGTAGGCACTTTAAAACCTAAAATGATATTCTGGGCACAAATAAACTGAGGACTAAAGTTGTCACATCTCATGAATATTATTTTCACATCTCATGAATATTATTTAAGGACTGGTTTCATGTTTCAGGGGCTGGTTTTTTGGAGGGTAGTAGCTAGTTTAATCTCTTTCTTTAGACTTAATTTTGGCTTTGTTTCCTTTCCCTTTTTATTGTGTCTAAACATTTTTCTCTCTTCTGCCACTTAAGGAGAGCAAAATAAAAGGCAAATAAGTCTAGCAAAAAGTCCTCAATGACCCAACCAGATATTATTTTAGAAAAACCCACAAGATTTTTCATATCTTTTTAGAAAAATTGTTAAAATCCAATTGACTTAACCTCCCTCTCCTAGAGATAAGATGGTTCCAAGAAATAATCTAAGGGAAAAAAAAGTCAACCAGTAGGCCTGTATTGGGCTCCCAGTAGGCCTGTATTGGGCACTGCCTGAGCTGGGTTGAGGCCATCCTCTAAAAAGGTAAACATCAGTCCTTTCCAAGGAGCTACACTCTACCTGGTCTTCCAGTACATACCCAGAAAGATAATGGGGCATTTGGAAAATATCCCACTGTGAACCAAATTGCACAAGCTCCACCATCTCAGTATTTGTAAATTCTCCAGGCCTGTTTTTCCTCCTAGGCCTCTGTCTGCCTAACAAAGCCAAAGTCTCTTCCATTTCTAGGTCTAATCAATACCAATCCACTTCAGAATGCTTCCAGCTTCACCTGACTTCATTTTTCACTGCCCCATTTTTGAACTCTTATGATTTCATAACTTACCAATATTTAACTTTGTATTGTTACTTAAATTCATGTCTATGACTTTTTACTAAGCTGTAAAAGCTTTAAAAGATTCAAATTTTTGAAATTTCCTTCTTACCTATAGAGTACTACAAGTATGCGATAAACTTTTAGGAAAAGAATCCACCCAGACACTTCACATCTGGCACAAATATGTACCCTGGAAACACTTCACGCATTTTGGTTCCTCTGTGTTGAAACGCAGCTGCAACACTGTGCAGTTAGCCAATATCCTATTACCGCCAGTTACTTCACTAGCAAGTCTAATTTTCCAAAAACACAAGGTTAGCCTGAGGTTACTTTAGGTTTTCCATCTGTCAAGGAGACCTGGAATAAAAATCTTCAGATTACCAACAGGGCTCTCTGTAAACAGAAAAAGTTTAAAAATAAATGAGCTGTACAGCTTCCCACACTCTCCTTTGAAGGGAGGATTGATAGTGGTGTCAGGATTAAACAGATCGTTGTAGTTCAGTTTCCCAACTCCCGCTGTTCGTAATACTCAATTGTCCTATCTGCACAGGCGTGTAGCACCGGGCGTAGAATAAAGCCGTTGCAAGAGCACGCCTGCCCTCCCACCTGCAAAGAGGAAGGACACGGCTGGCCGCGGGGCAGAGCGCAGGCCGCGCGACCCTGGCGCCGGGTCCGTTCCGCCTGCAGCCGCCCAGGCCCAGCGAGCGCCCCGCCGCGCAGCCTGCGGCCACCGCTGGCCCCAGCTGATTGCGAGCACGTGACGGCGCGGGCCAATGGGGAGGGGCCGGGGCGCGGCACAGCCGAGCCTCCTTCGGCACAACAAACATGGGCGGAAACAGCTGAGCGGGCGGCGGCGCGGGGTCCCGGCTCGCCTGCTTCTGCCCGCGGCCACCCAACACCGCGCCAGGCCAGCGGGGGGCCCCCTCCCCCGGTTCAGGGATCAGCTGGGGAGGCGGGCGGAGGGGCGGACGTTCGCGCGGCTAAGCAGAAAACAAAAGCCGACACCGCTCCCCGCCCGTAGCAAGTGCCAGTCAGCCGAGGATGTGGTTCTTCTTAAGGACCGGCCACGCCAGGGTGTAACCACCGCCCCACAACTTGGAGCTCGTACTTCACTTCGGGGACCGTAGCGCAGCGAGGCGGCCGAGATGGCAGGCCTCCCAGGCTACCGCGGCGGCGCACAGCCCAGGGCGCGCCCCCGACACTGCGGCGGGGACGCGGCCCGTGGGGGCGGGGCAGCCGAGGCGGGGGGAGCCGCCGGCCAAACTGCCCGCAGAGGGGGGACCGAAGGCCTCCGCGGCGATGTGCTGGGACTCCGAGGCGGCGGCGGGGTACCGGCCAAAACTGGAGGCTGCGGCGGGATGGGGAAGTGAGGGGTGGCGATTGTGGCGGTCGCGCCGGTTGTCCAGGCTGGGCGGCGGGGGCGGGCAGACGGCAGCCGCCGCGGCTGGGCCTCACAAAGAGGAAACGGCTCAGCTCGTCGGCCTGCAGCTCCCGCCGCTGGGGCTCGCCCAAGGGGGCCGGGGTCGGCCGCACTAGGACCCCGGGGGGAGCACGACAAGGAAGAGGCACTTCCTGCCTGGGCCCCCGCCCCAGACCGATTCCCGAGTGCTTCGAAGCCGCCGACCTGGAAGACTCCCCAGCCCCAAGCGGGCTTCGAGCGCAGCCCCCACCCGTCTTACTCACCCCGAACGGCTGTGAGGTGCGTGGCAGCCTGCGGTTCTTCGCTCCTCAGCTGGGATGAAGCCCCTCGGCTACCCGAGTCCAGGTTTAGTCAGGCCCCGGCCTTGGCCCCGCCTCTCCCTGGATGGACCTCCGCGTCAATCACCCAGCGTAGCTCCGCCCCTAGAACAGTCGGCTCTCCCGGTTGGCCCAGAACGTCCTTAATCTCTAGGCCCCGCCCCCTCTCCTACACCCTGCCCCTTCCGCTCGGCCCCGCCCCTTCTCTGGTTCACCCTCCCCCCCACTCCAGCTCCCCTTTGCGTCGCGACCCACCCCTTCCAGAAGCTGCGGACCCAGGGCAGGCTCCCTGCAGTTCGCCCCGCCCCTGACCCAACACCAGGGACTCTTACAGCCAATCAAAGAGGATAAGTCTACCCCTTCTCCAAAGGTGGCCAATGTGAAGAGCCTTACGATCCACCCACTTCCCAGCTGAGAGCACACAACACAGCATCCACGTGAGTCAGCTTCTTAAAGAGGACGGATCAGCCTTTCTAATTGTGGCAGCTGTGAGATACTGCGCGTCATCATCGTCGTCAGGTGCTGGCTAGGCCTAGTTTCCTTCCTGAGACCCAGTGATGACAGATGAAAACAACAGGCTGTTTTCTAGGCGAAGCAGATCCCTAGATAGTTAATAACATGCACCGTGTTATTAATTTCTTTGAGATTGCTTACTCTTGCCACAATTTATAAAGGGTTACCTTTTATTTACAAACTCCAAAACCCTTTGAATCTGAGCATATAGGAAGTCTTGAAGAACATCTACGAAAAAAAGGATTTTTCAAGTTTGCCGGACCTTATTCACAACTCCCTGAGTTTTCTCTGTAGTGGAAATGATTATCAAAAGGACGAGAAAATTCAGTCTTATGCATAGAGATTTTCTTCCTTAGAGTCTGAAATTTGTTGAAAAGCGTAGCTATTCCTTTAAGCCTCATCAATGCCAAAGATGGAAGATTTTACGGCTCCATTTCATTAGAATTTCCCAAGTAATTACATTAATGATTTTTGCTGACTTTCAAGATAAACCATAAATACTTGATGATCCCTATTTCTCAGGTAGAAAATAAAGACTGACATTTGAAATTAACCTGCAAGGTGTTTAAAGCCATCAGTAGTGGGATAGAGATTTTGAAGCAAATCTTAGCTTTTGATTCCTCATCAAACCCAAATTCACCAGTATTTTCACTTAGTTCAGATAAAAAACCTGAATATCAAAGGCAAAAACTAATTATTTTTTGATAAGTGAGTGTTCCAAGAGATAAGGAAGTTTTAAACATTTTTTAGTTATTTTTCTTCTCATTCTTTTGTTTTTATGTAGCTTTAATTACAAAAGTAACACATGCTCATTGTAGGAAGGTCATTCAGATTCAGCCTCATTTCATAACAGACCTCTGTTCTCTGCTTACACCCTCATATTTATCTTATTTTCCTCAAAACGAATGTGCATGAAAGCATATTGTACCTGTTATTCTTCAACTTGCTTTTTTTCACTCTATATGTTATGGACATCCTTCCATGTCAAATTTATATTTTATCTACAAATTTACCTTTGTCTCCATAGTTTTCCACTGTATGACCTCACGATCTTTTATGAAACATTTTTTTTTCTACTGATAGACACGCAGATGCTGTTGATCTTTTGCTATTAAAAATACTGCTGTAACAAACCCGTGTTCATCAATAAAATATGTGTCAAATATTTCTGTATATAAGCATTTGAAACTGGCATACAATGCCTAAAGCCACGGGAATAAGAGTTTCTCAAGGTGAAAAAACAACAGGGAAATATTTATTTAAATACATAGAAAGTGCTTTCTGTTCTAAGTGCTTTAAAATTATTAACTCAATTTTATAACAACTCCATGAGGTAGGTACAGTTATCCCCATTTTAGAGATGAGTGAGCTGAGGCACAGTGATTCATGTCCAAGGTCATGCAGTAGAGTTTTTGAACACGATATTTGTAAACTTGGAGGAGAATGAGGAAAATCATACTTTAGAAGGATTAATCTACATGATGGATGTACAGAGTTAGAATTCAAATATGAGGTAAGGAGAGCAGATAGGAATGGCACTGAAGGGGCAGGTTTAACTTGGACAAGAATGGCTCACAAGACTGACTTATTATTTATAAGACTGACAAAGAAGAGAGAATTTTTCAAAGATAAACCAGAGATTTTATCCTAGAGGACTAGTAGGGTGATGATTTCCCATTGCTAGATATAGAGTGGTGTGAAGGTTGATTTAGGATGAAACATGATGGGTCTGAGCTGATGGTGGCATGCCCTTTAAAAATAATATGCAGTTGAAGATAATACAACAAACATGGAAGAGAAATGAAAAAGAAATGGTGAGAAATTTGAAAAGCATCTTGTTGGGTTTCTTATTACAGTTGTGTTGTGCCTACTTATTTCATTTGGAATAAATTGGCACTTTAAAATACTGACACTTTCCCACCAAGGACATGGTATATTTCTTGATGTATTCAAGTGTTATTTTATGTCTCAGTAAAAATTTCATGGTATAGCTGCCTTCCTTCAGGTTGTTCATATATCTCTTGGGTTATATTTAGGTAATGCATATTTTCTGGGGATATTATGGGCTGAATTGTATCCCCCCACTCAAATTCATATGTTGAAGTCCTAACCCCCAATACCTCAGAATGTGACTGTATTTTGAGATAGGTCCTTTAAAGAGGTGATTCAGTTAAAATGAGGTTGTTAGAGTGGGCCCTAAAACAATCTGGTGTCCTAATAGAAAGAAGAGGTAAGGACCCTCATAAGGGACAGTAAGGATATGTGTGCACGTAGAAAAGACTATGTGAGAACACAGAAGATGCCTGCAAGCCAAGGAGTGAGGCCTCGGTGGAAACTAAACCTGCTGGCACCTTGATCTTGGACTTCCAACCTCCAGAACTGTGAGAAATAAATTTGTTGTTTAAGCCACCCAATCTGGTGTCAATTTGCTGTCAGCACCTGCAAACTAACATTGGGGGTTATTGTGAATGGGAACTTCTATTATATATAGTATAACTCTAGCTGATTATTTGTCATTTTATAGGAAAGATAATAATTTGTTTATTTTCCTGAATTTACTGGATAAAAAATTCTGTCTGAAAAATGATCATAACTTTGCACAATGAATATATTTAATAAAATTGAACTGTACCCTCAAAAATGGTTAAGATGGTAAATGTTTTTGTTCTGTGTACTTTACCACAATTAAAAATAAACTAGGTTTTCTAACAAAAAATAAACAAAAAAGGGAGGTAGGAGAGTCCAAATCAGAGAAGGAAATGTGATGATGGAAGCAGAGATTGGAGCGAGCAGGGCCACGAGCTAGGCATGCAGGCACCTCCAGAAGCTACAAAAGGCAAGGAAACAGATTCTCCCTTAGAGCCTCCAGAAGGAACACTGCCTTGCCAACACCTCAGTTTTAGCCTGGAAAGACCCATTTTGGACTTGTGACTTCCAGAACTGCAGGGTAACAAATTTGTGGGGTTTTTTTGTTTTGCTTTGTTTTGTTTTCAAATTTCTGGGGGGTTTTTTGGGGGGGAGTTAGTTTGTTTTTTAAGATTTTATTGGGGAATTAGGGGAGGGTCACAGCGCTGGGGAATCGGGGAAGGGGAACAGACAAGTTGCTGTTCTTTTGTTCTTCAGTCTAGTTGTGGAGGATGTCGCTGCACTGGCCCATGTTGGTATTGTGATCATTGCGCTCTTCCCGGCTGAGGCAGATCGGTCTCCGGCCACTAGATGGCCACTCACGGTGGCTCATGGCAGCTCACACTGGCTGCCGGCTGTTCACGCTGGCTGCCAGCCACTCATGGTAGCTCATGGCAGCCACTGCAGCCTCACTGCAGCTTACACCGTTGCAGGCGACTCAAGGCAGCCCAGCTCTCCAGGTCAAGCTGTTGTTCACCATCTTACCTGTAGATGGCGCAGAGTCACTGGCCCTCATGTGGGATCAGGACAGGGGGGGGGGGGGCCTGCTGCTCAGAACTTGCGCTCCCAAGCTAAACCTAAACCAATGCGCTACTTGGCTGGCCCCAAATTTGTGGTGTTTTAACCCACCAAGTTTGTGGTGATTTGTTACAGCAGCAACAGGAAATTAATACATCACCTCATTTTCCTAAATTCATCTTTTATATTGCATTTCTTATTAATTACTTGGTGCTGTTTATAATTAGTTTTAATTTTGTTATCGCACATAACTATATTCTTTCTAAAGTATATTACATCTACAGATCTGACTCAGCAAATGTTAAAGTGGCCAGGAAACGGAACCTCAGCCCACAAACCCCTAACCCTTCACCAGGCGTCACCAGCCAAGAGGATCTTGTAATATCCTCCCCTAAATTTATTTTAATACCAAAAACAAAAGCTTTAGCAAAATTTCCACAAACTTTCCTAACAATAAAAACTTTTACATCTCATAATCTGAGTCCCGGGGTAAGGATAGATAAATATCCCAACTTAGGTGGGGCAAGTTGGAGAGCAGAATAAATGGTGGTGAGGAACATGGGCTTTAGAGTTAGTCTGAGGTCAAAATCCAGCACTGCCACTTCCTAGCCGTCTGACCATGGGTGAGAGCTTCACCTTAATTATTAAGATAGTGATAATCTTAGGGTTATTGTGAGCATTAAATAATATAACTGATGTCAAGTGCTTAGCCAGTGTCCCTGATACCTATTAAGTGCTTAATAAAAGTTGCTATTGTGTTAGTTCTTGTTATTATTTCCGTGACTCTATGAAACTGAGTCCAAAGTGAGCAGGTTTTGCTGTTTCTCCTACACTCACATTACAGAATGTTAAGGTCACCTCACAGACTGTCAGGCAAATGCCTGATAGCACTCTTGTGTGGTTCAACCCTGAATGCAGAGAGTGCTTGAAATACTGCCAATCCTCTGACATGATTTATATCATGGAGGTGAAAAATGAGCCATCCGGCTTCTTTCAAAACCCGTCTGCACACCAAAAGTCAATAGCTAAGGTCTCTAGGCTCTAAGCTAGAATTCCATCAATGAGATAATACACTAGTCATTTCCACCATTACTAATGATTGTCATTTAGGAGGACACAGTTTGAACACACAAAACAAACATTTAAAACACCACCAAGCACCAAGCAGATTTATATGAATGGA